GACGTTGCCTTAGTTATAATTATGACGTGTATTTTGTTTGAGCTTAGCTGAATGTCATGCTATATAACGGTAGGCCGGCCGGATTCTGCGGGGTTAGAAGTGCACTGGAGTTACCGAATACCACTCGTAGGTCTGGACGTAGAGCTGGCTGCAGTACACAGAATTCGAAGTGCATACGTATAGGTATGCACATAGTTATTATATATACGCATAATAAATAACATCTTTGATACACCAGAGAAATACGGGTACGTATCTACATGTAGCTACATAATTGATGTGAAGGATAGAGTACTACTGTTGTTGATTGGCTCAGCAAATATTAGAATTTAGAGCTAGCTAGCTTGATTGGAGCCCTAGGCTATGGAGTCCCTCAATTTTGCGCTAGTGCTTTCTTAAGCTTGGACCACCGCGATAAAGCTGTTCAGCCCTAAAACACTAGGTACTCGGATCCACGCAACACATATGCTCTACCTACATTACGAACCTGTCGTCCGAAGAATCATGTGAAAGATCATCTCATAGACCGCACTCTCCTCCACCATCAGCTCACGCCAGAAACTCTGCATGTGATTGTCTCTCTGATAAACTCATGTCCAGTCCGAGTACACATGTAATGCAATGCAGCCTTCGCGTGTTCACGAATATCGAATGAGTACATCGCATGTACGTCCATGAATGGGTAAACACCTAACGGAAAGATTACCCGTTTGCGAATGCATCTAATGAACACAGCAGATATCGAGGTGCACAGAGCAAGGCTAGAATACCGTATTAAGCGTGAGTGGTAAACAAGAGGAATGCTGACATAGCAAGTCACCCTTGCTTATCACCAATATTTCACACCTGAGCGGACGGAAGCTTAATTAATTAAGCGTGCGCATAGACTTCTGGGGGCCTTCTACTCTCATTTAGAAGGCAAGGGCCATTTAACGACAAATGGTTGTGGTACTGGTGACAGAGCTGCACAGTGATGCGTGGGGGCAGTTTGAGGGCACCTACATATTATTATCATTTTACCATTCTTTTTAACGAGGTTTTAATAAAACAAGTGGTCTACATAGTAGCTGCTCATTATGGTATTGTATCTTCGACTGAACAAAAATACTGACCCTTTTTACAGGGTCAAAAGGATTTTAAATTAAACCCTTATTATTAAATTCCATCATTTATACATTTAACCTGAGTGGATCTCCAACCAATGACTGGCTTAAATTGGCTGTGGCTTATGGGCTCCCACGAAAAAGGGACAGCATGTTTCGATAACTTGATTCTTATCAAAACGTCTGTATATGAGCAGCGTTTATGGATGGACCAGAACACTATGTACCTTACAGAGTCACACAGCTGAGTTGATAATAGGAACCCATATAGGCCGCTTATAATATAGCTACTTCGAGACAAGTCGCTTTTATGTCAAAAAAAACCCGGAACCAGAAACCCCTAAAGTTGTTTATGCCTCGGAGACCGTATCTAATAAGGTGTAACGGGTTCACATTCCCCCCATCTTAAAAATGAAGTTGCCAATAGAGTCCCTCCGGTCACTCTACGATCGCGACTATGGAGATCAACTACATCCACCTGGCACTTTTTGATATCCATTAATATTGGAACCCAACGTACTTCATCAGAAATCTACACCCCAAGCCATCTAGAGTTTTAATCATTAACAGGGATTCCGATCGGAAGTAAGCGCCCATCGAATCCAACAAAGCGCACAATGTCTGCCTATATCTTCGTACTACATCGTCACGCAAGATAAAGTGCATCGAGTGATATTCCATGATTAAGTAATTCGTACAGGAGTTCCGTTCTACCAGCAATATTCCCAGCGACCTATTTTCCTTAAGATAAAGATCACAAAAGATTACAAGTTCCTATCCTAGGCCGAAATTAACTCGATTTTCAATCCCGCTTCACAAAAGTTAACCTGCCAATCCATTTCAATTGCGCTGGCAAGATAATTTCATTAAAAATAGAATAAACTACTGAGAATGATAACTGATTGAATGATCATGAGCCATCCGAAGCTGTTTATTGCATATTATACTAATAGCTACAGTCAATTACAAAGTCTTGTTTCCCCTCCTCCTTTTTTTGAGTATGACTTATCTAGAGTTGCTTTTAAAAAAGTTGAATTTTTTTCTCTGTCGAATTCCGACGCAAAACAGTTAGCTAATCGCAACTATAAAAAATGAGGGACGAAAAACTATTTATGTATAAAAAATAAATCTACAAAAAAGAAACCCTAACCCACAACACATTACTCCAACCGTATACGCGTAGCTTCTCCGGCCACCGTCTAAGGAGAGTTGAAACGGAGAAACCAGCGAAAGAGCTATGTTCCCAGTTCAGAAAAACTGGGGCGTCAGGGACTCAAGAGCGGGGGCGTGATGCTGAGGGGTAGCCCTGACTGGCGACTAGCCCAGAAGCAGCACGATAGAGTTAATTTAAAGGAGATGGGGCCGGGGTAACTACATACATATGAGCTTATAGCAAGGACATGCCAAGACCAAGACGTACGAGAACCATCTTGGCCGCTATCGATGATCAGGATAAGCCAGTAGTATTTCCTATTTGACACTTTGTCAAGAAAAGAGTTAAAAGATTTTGCACGATCTTAGCACCTTGGGATGGCCCTAGCTTGAGCAATATATTGCTAGTCATTTAATGGCCAGACAAACAATTAACACCAATGATTTAATTGCAATAAATTCATGATGGTACAAAAGAATAGATAGCATTCCATATTTTACAATCCAGTAAGCGCACAAACCCGTGCTACCCTACTATAAACATTAAATTTTATTTCCCTCTACATATATCCCAATCAACCCATCTAGTGGTGGTGGTGTGTCAAATCCCTTCCCTTCAACCTCGCCGCATCACCAGGCTGCTTCTTCACGAGCTTCTCCACAAAGTCCCTGTCGGCCCTCAATTTCTCGGTGACAGGCTCCAAGTCCAATCCCAGCTGCTCAGCAACAAAGTGGGCAATCTCAGTGTTGTCCCTCTGTCCTGAAAGCTTCTCGTGGTTCAATCCGTGGCCGTAAAGAGTAACATCAACACCAGTGTGTCCTCCGGTAGCCCAGTGGACCTTCAAACGCTTGGAAAACGCCAATGCGAGGAAGCGGCCAAAGTTGGAAGTGGAAGACTTAAGGGCAAGACCTTGGGTGATCTCTTCCTCAGAGGGGTCCATGATACCATAGGGGGCGTAGACAGACTTCTTGAGGTACTGAGTTGCATCAGAGGTATCGTTTGACTTGTAGTTCTTCCATAGAGTGGCATACTTGCCGGATGAACCGTGAGAGGAGGCAAAGTGCTCTGGCGCAAACCAGTAGTCTGGGGCACCGTCGAGCTCGTATCCAAGAGTAAGACCACCACACTCGTGATCGGCAGTGGAGATGAGGACGGTCTCGGAGTCATCGTGCTCATCGATCCACTCACGCATAGCGTCCATGGCACGGTTGTATTCAAGGATGTCGTGGAGATGACCAGTTGCGTCGTTCGCATGACCAGCATGGTCAATTCTGGATGCCTCCACCATGATGAAGAAACCCTTCTTGGATTTCTTGGTAGCTTTGTAAAGGTCGTTGATACCCTTCAGAGCCATCTCGGTGAGAGAGGGCTCAACAGCGGGATCGCGGTCAATCTCGTAGGACATGTGATCTGCATTAAATGTAAGAATTTATTGTGGAAATTGGGGGGGGGGGGGGGGGGGTGGGTTCGGTATACCTTGGGTGAAGAGACCGAGGTAGGGGAGCTTAACGTCCTCCTCGAATGCGGCCCTGTCTCCAAAAACAGTGTAGCCACGCTGCCTGGCAAGCTCAAGGGCATCGATATCATCGTCACGGCAAGAGTCGGTGGTGTTCTGGGGAGTGAAGAAACATCTTCCACCACCCATGATAACATCAACAACGCTACCGAGGGGATGGCCCACACCAATCTCCTGAAGAGCGATATTGGACTCAATGTCACGGTCATAGACGTGCGCAACGTAAGAGGCAGGAGTGGCCTAATCATATTAGTTTAGTTAAAGCTCCGCAATCCAATTCATGAGAAACACATACGTGAGTGATTCTGCTAGTAGCGATAAGTCCAGTCTTGTATCCCTGGGCCTTTGCAGCCTCCAAAACAGTTCCGCAAGGCTCGACATCATCATCGATACCAATTGCTCCGTTATAGACCTTGATACCGCAGGAGTACGCAGTCGCAGTGGATGCCGAGTCAGGAACGTAAGAGTCGCTGGAGCGAGTGCGAACCTGGCCGATCATCATTCTATCGATGGGAAGATCGACGGTAGCATTGTTATTCCAGTGCATCCAGTCACGAGCCATAGTCTCTGATGCAGGACCGAAACCGTCACTATAGGTGTAATCAGCATGTGTTGAAGCTTCAAGTTAGCTAGTAATGAAGGCTTACGGAATGACCTGTATTACACAATTAGCTTCAATAATCATTTCAGAAGGATTGACTGGTAGTAACTCACCATGATGAAATTCTTGGGCTTCCTTCCGTCCTTTCCATCCTTTCCACCCCTTCCGGCTTCAGCGAGAGCTGCAAAGCCGCTCAATGCGATCAAAAACAGACTCTTGACGTTCAACATTGTTCCAAGTTATTCAATTGACCCGGTGATTCTCTAAACAAATGAATGAAGAGTGAATGAAGACTGATTGAAAAAGAGTTCCGGCGGAGGAGGGCGAGGAAGAGCTTATAAAAGAGCCAAAAGTACTTAGCCGAATGGTTACGTTCCTATCAGGCATGTAAATTGCCTTCCAGCTTCCTTGATTGTAAATATTGGCCAAGACTGCCATACACCCGCCCATGCCAACTTGATGACAGTGTCTCGGGAACCAACAGAGCGGACTTCGTCGGATTTCCTTAGCTGAACGGCAGCGGGAAAAAGAGGATTTCCCGAGATCCCATGAATTGAAGCACGTGGCATTCTAAAAGGTTTATTATTATTCAACTTATTCGTCTTTCTTCTAGTCAATCTCCGTGTCTTATAGGGTTCCACCGGCCGCTGGCGCAAAGTCGTGATACATGAAAAAGAAGCGTGCCTCCGTAGGCGACTCCGATTGGTCTGTCATAGAATGCCAAGACCACACCTTCCCTCTTCAATCAGTGTAACTCCGACTGCACTTTTTGTAGCGACGTACGTCCCCGAGAGTTACTCTAGATGCTCTACTGACATGATTTGTACCGATAAGGTTGGTTTTCAATTTGTAGACACACGTGCACACGAAATCCCGTTCCTTACGTGCCCTGTCGATGTCAGATATCTCCATTAATCCGGAAGGTGGGACCTGCTTCATCTCGAGCGAGTACCTAAGGGATGTGGATCTTTGCGGGCCTTCATAGACGCAGTTTCAGTAAATATCTCAAGTCTTAGTGGGTGGAGATGGATGCGAGCCGTACCTACTTAGACTGGCTTGATGAGCATCAAGTTCGGATATCTCGGAAGCATCTTGGGATTGATGGTTTGATGGTTTGGTGGGTTTCTGTAAAAGAACTGGAGTCCTTTGAGGGTTTGAAAAGGACTAAAAGAAAGCTGGTTGACGAGGGTTTATATATCGCCTGAACTGCCTGGACACCTTTGTAGACACACACGCCTAAATCTCGGATTGTTTTCCGTATTCGGCCATATTTTCTTCATTCTAGGAAGATCTTGGTATCGGCTCCGAGACCAGTATTGGGCATTGAAACCTAGAGTTAAGGATTCGCAAAATGATATTCCAAACTTCTAGAAGTTGGGAGTAGAATTGAAATGTTCGGCCAGCGATGATCACTAAACCGTTAAGAAACGTCACCGTGTCGGGAACCACTCTTCCCGTGTTACCGCACGGATCAACATGTCAACCAGGTTTCCGGGATCTTTTCCAATCTCTTATCGATCGCACGTTGTGCCTCTAGCCTGAATCAGCCATAAATTGACAGATAACGAAGCCCACGTGCACCAAGCAGCTCATCGAATGTCGAACCTAATGTAGGTACATGTATGTACATGTAGTCAACCGAAAGGACGGATAAAATCATCCAGTATGGAAGTCAACCAAGACTCTGTTCAAGCTTACAGTCGTGCCTCGCTATCTCGTAATTCGATATCTTGGATCTCTTGCTGTCTCGTACGGATCTGCGGGACAGGTACTACTGCCCTTCTCCACCAACAACTATTTGCTGTCTCGTATATTTTCTATCTCGTAGGGGTTTGGCTCCCAGAATACACTAACGACATAACGAGGCGCGACTTTACTACCTAGCTGTGCTTAGGACATGTTTAACATACGTGCCCGATCGATCATCTAGGAGAGATCTAGAAATACGTAGAGTTTGCTTTTGGGGAAGATAGTGGCAGCATTCTTTTAGAATGCTTTGGACAAAGTGCGGCTACCCTGGCAAATAATTCCATGGGCTTAATTAAAAGCAAATTACATGTAGTGGTAGAGAGAAATGCTGCTGGTGGAGGTCTTTTGCCTATAGCTATGGGCGAGCGCCGCCAAACTACATACATAAACACAATCAAAAAACAAGAAGCTGTATCACATGTATTATCTATCGATGAGCTAGACGACCTTTCTTGAGTAATTTAATAAATATATTCATTCTCTTTTCACGGAAACGAGTGATAACCTATGATAGTCTCCATCATGTACAGTCACTCGACAATTAGCGTCAGCCGGCTCAGCCGGAGTCCATTCTTTCCACGTGGCTAGCAAAATCAATGACAAATAAAGCCAATGGAAACTAGATGGATGTCACAGATTTCGTTTCAGCCAATCGGTCAATAAACACTATCTGCTGGTTGCCGAGCTCGTTTCTCCTGGGCTATGTATGATTGGGCGTTTCAATAAGCACTTTCAGAACCCGCCGAGTAGTCAGAAATAGAGATTTTCCGACACAGGTCTTACAAAATACCGCGTCACCTTCATATGACTCCCCCAATCGATAATTATAACCGCGAAAGTTTTCTATCCACTGGCCGGCGTAGCGAGTTTGCAGGGCTTCTCTCGTCATAAGAGCACAGTATCACAGATTATCACTCGAATCGGCCCTGGCGCGCATGCGCATAAGCACATTACCCACTAAACCGCCTTTGGCGTTTCAGGGATATATTTCCTCTCTCGATAAATAGATCTTCAGGGGATTTAAGCATTGAGGCGGTGGAGAAAACAAGGCTACATTTATGGTTCGTTGGTGTCTCATGTAGCTGTAGAACATGTGTGTGGCAGCGCCCCATGTGGCTAGTGAGATATGTCATGTATAGGCCTCTCGCGCACCTCGGACGATATATCTCTAAAGGAGGGCGTAAATATAGGGCTAGGGAAAGGAAGATATCATAGGTTTATTTACAATTTCGGAGTCATTGGTAACAAGAAATGAATTGAAAGGGTGTAAATTCATCGTTTTGTTGAGTGTAACTACATAGCCTGGCCAGCTGGCCAGCTGGTGGCCATGGCTAGATCCGTGATCGTGAAGTAGGGCGTCGATCTTCATCTTGCAATGTGCAAGATTACTGACAGTAGAGGTGCCAACTTTACTGCACTGAACCAGGGCAAGATTCTCGACTAGATTAAACCAGTAGAACAATTTACAATTGTACACCACTGGCTTTAGCGCGCTTAATTGGCCTGAAGTACCATACGCCGCTCCTAGGATCCTGCCTTCCGGTACAAGGCTTCGAAATAAATTCAATTCCGAATGGCCACGTGGGAGCTCGAGCACGAATATATATCTAAATGAATGCAAGCAGAGGAGCTAGAGGCACTTATTCTAGCATAGCTCACGTACCGAAAAGACTCACTCGATAGCTATATAGTTAGTAGAATCTAGATCTTCCGGAGAAATATAAGAAGCGATTTCTTGTTAGCCCTATTTGAAACATTGTAGGTCAATTCGCACCCCGCGGCCGGTATATAAACTTCCGTGCGTACTCGAGATAAATAATAGGTATTAGAAATGTGAGTATTAGAGCCCAATTTCTATTGGATATTATGAAACATTATAGCTATTCATGTCAACTGGAAACATAGAAACTTGCATTGTCCGGCATTTGTTGTCTGCCTCGAACTCTGAATTTGGCTCTTTCTCTGTCATCGAGCACTTTTAGAATCTAGACCCCTGGGATTATCAAGATATTTCGTCAAGGGTGTAATTGCACCAGTCAATTCCTGCAACTTAGATTCGGACTGCATGTCACCTTCATCTAAACTTGAGACATCTGCCAGTAAGTTAGAACGTTAGAACTTTGCTCTTATAGATCCCTAGTGTCTTGTGCTGCATTATAGACATGGTTCCACATGGTGAACTGTCCTGTGCCGAGTGCAAGTAATTACATAAGTAAGCGAAGTCGCTAAAAAAATGAATTTAAGTCATCGAATCTGTTCTCAGGAGCTAGGCAGCTGCAGAGCTGGAGGTATGTTTTGATTCGAAAAGATATACCAAAGGTTGTTACAGGTCTAAACTGAATATCCGATCCTGTAAGAACTCAGGAAGCCTCTCTGCTATACAAAGCCCAATAGTTCCAAAACATGCCTACAAATAAGTGCATTTGCACTTACTGATAAAGAAATGTTATCGCTGTGAAATTTGGGTTTAACTGGATGTGTTCATGTCGCCTACGCATGTACGTACCTAGCTACATGTAGCCATACCATATGCCATATATTAGGTGACTAAGCAAGACAGAATATCCAAATTTGCAAAACTGAACCACGTGGCAAAATGGCGCAACATTAAATATACTTAACCTAAGCACATACTTATATCGCGGAAGACACGGTTGAAACATTACAAAGAACATGTGGGCACAAGAGGGTCGTCATATGAGGATTTGAAGGCTATTCTATCAACCTAACAGTCATCTCTAGCTAGCTCTGTCAACCAATTACTACACAGTGGAAAGCCTAAAGCCTTGCTGGTCGTTGAGGTATTAATTCCACCAATTGCCAACTACACAATCATCGATCTCCTTTAGGAATTTCTTTCTGCCAATGAGAATAGACGCTACGCGAATTTTAAGTAAGGGCTCTGTGCCACTCTCCGCTGTAATGTATATATATGATTACATAGACATTCAAAACTAATAGCCGCCACTTGTCAACAATAAGAATCGTTTCACGTAGTACATAACGTACGTAGAGCTAGAGAGGTAGAGGGTAAATTGGGCGAGACGAAGGGGATGTTAAGTCTTGGGGCTTTTCACTAGCAAATGGATGCCGAGCTTGTGATTGAAATCTGTTTCGTCCTCCGTCTCTGCCAACCCTCGATCTACCACGCTATCACCTACGCATTGGGGATTGTTGGTCCCATCTCCTTCTCCGTCGGTAAACATTCACTTTGGAAACAAAAAATGGCCTAAGAGGCGTCCTTTCGAGCTTCAGGGACTTATTATGGCACAGTGCAGCCCGAACCTCAAAAGCGGGCCGGCCGGAATGGAAGTGTGGCAATGTCGAAATATGATGGCCTAGACTCTTCAATTGTTTCTCTGTAGCCCGAGTTTGAACGTTGACTTTTCGGTGCGTAGTGACGCTTTCGCTGACACGATGCCTATATCCCGATTGCAGATCATTTGACACACGATTGATCGAGGCCTAGGTGTCAAGGCTAGTAACTGCACATAAAACACTAAAATATTCGAAGCAAAACAGGATACTAACATCTAGTTTACTAGTCCAACAAACAGCACTTGCTTTGAAGTCTGGTAATATATTTATATCTATTCTCACGCGCAGCCCGCCGCCCCATCCGTGCCTACCAATGAGTTAGAGAATTCTCTATCAGATATAATCCGATGAAGGCTGTGACCCGGGATAACTTATATTCTATTTGGAGGATATACATGCATTATACACTAATTTTGTCCGACACAGAAGCCTAATATCTGGTGGCGGGCACATCTACTGCAAGTGATACTCTCAGGGATCTTCACCTGCAGATGGTTTGGGGGGCAAGTTTATGCGGGATAGGTTATTGGTTTTTACTGCAGTTTCAACCGCTCAGTACATTCGGGCCCTACTTCATCCAACGTCTTCAAGGCTGTGGTGGGTCACGGTGGCTCATAGAGTGGCGTAGGAGACCGAACCGTCGAGAAAATATGTCAAGAAGAAGCTATGATAGGGCTTAGAGTGCATCAAATTTTCCGGGTCTTAGTAACCTGGATTGGCGGAAATCCGTACCATGGATTTCGGACGCCAAGGACGAAAATCTCAAGTAGGACAGCAGGGAGGCAAACATCTGGGAAGCTTGGCTGCATGGATCGTGCCCTCCATCTACCTGCTTTCGAGGTGTGCTTTAATGCCAAAGATCTTCTTCTCTATTTGTGGTTCTACCTCCTTAAACTGCGGCTGCGATAATTCTGGAGGATAAGACTAAGCTTAAGAGATCGAATGAGCCACGATTGAAGTTCTAGCGCAGTAAAAGAAATGCAGATTGCAATTGTATGTCAAAAGATTATTTGGTTAAGTTTTGATCTCGATATTCTATTCATGATATCTAGTAGATCTATATTAATAACTAACTAACGCCACGTCAGGTACAAAAAACAATAAACCAACCCAATCAACCTTCCCCAACAAGCAGTTTACTACAAATCTTCTGACTTACTTCCCAACGTGTTCGGCCTCGATTGGAGAATAAAATAAAGATACATCTGAGCCCGAGCCAAAAGTTCGAGACCACCAATGCTTCTGCGTCTCAGCATAGCCTCTGTAATCTTCTGAGGAAGGAGTATTTACAGCTGCGCACATAATGCTGATTCTGAGGACTAGCTCCCTTCAATCTACTAATCAAAAATCTGATAAAATGTTTGGATCAAGGCACATCAATAAGAGATCTCATAGGAACGAACGGCATGTTAGCGGGTCGCTACCAGAAATTTGCGCATCTGGGTACTAGCCAGGGGTTATACTGTGGCTGGTGCTCACGATTGATATAAAAATTCGCTTTTTTGCAAGCACATCCCTTACCCTAATCTTTTTATAAGTCACTGTTTCAATATCGTGGCTAGGATCAACGTTTGGTGTTTGGTGTGGCGCGCGCGCGGTAGGGGTTTTGCCAAGAGCGGCCCACATACCAATTAGAGCATATCTCTGCCACGTGACTAAGCTATTTTCCTGCCTTGCGCTTGCGCTTATTTTGATGAGTTTCATGCTCTTCTTCCGGTACGACAGACATGGGGAGCAGTTATTCTATGACGAGTCAAGCCACTTGAAAGCTTTAAGGTAATGATCGTGGCTAATTTCCGCACGAACAGTACCTGCATTAGACCCGATCAGTAGTTGTCTTCTACTGATCTAAGATAAGTACACGCTGTTGAATGTAGTTTAACATCTCAATGGCTATGTATTTTGATGTTTGTGCGGACAACGTGGGACCTCTTAGATTAGGTATTTGCATCATAGCCACAATAAATTGCTAGTATAGTCTATTGTACCTCTGGGAGAGTCCCGAGATCTACGTTACTGGGCCCGAATTTGTACCCATTTAGATCCCACGTTAGTACTGTGCTTGCTGGGACCATTTGTGTAACCACAGAACGCGATCTTGTCGCCTATTCAAACCCTGAAAAACCGGAACGGGACGTTGCTATCGATCCCCAGGTTCCGAGATCTAGATAGCTTAAACGCAGCCGAGAAGATCATATCAATCTATTCCAGAGATCGAGTCATATATCTATTTTACTTTGCTCAGGCAATTGAACTATCGAGCTGAATAAACCACTCGTTATGACTCTGCAGTGGGGTACCTTTGGGCAGCTGCAGGTAAATATGTACATGATACATCACAATCTCAAGGGTTAGGGGTGGGATCCAACATGGGTTAGGGTTAAATTTCTTTCTTTTGGGGCAAGATCGACGGTTATAATCCCAAGGATAGTAACATCTGAGTCATTTCCAAATATTCAACGCAAGTAATTATATTATAAAAAAATATTAGCGTGTCTCTCTTCCGCCCGATGATCGGCGAGGAGGAGTTTCGCAGTCGGCAGTTTTCCAAGAAATGTCGTTGTTGCGGGAATTATATTGATTTATTAACTCGTTAAGCGGCGCTTAAGCCTCACTAGTACGTCGTCTATGTAGTCATACATGTACTTCTACATGTAGTTCCTATCTTGAGGACGTCGCGCGATCCTGTGAGCACCTAGTACAGTCTTCTTGCTACAGAGCCCTATGCCGATACTACTATATCAAGTGGTTTCAATGCTGTATAGTACGATTGAGAAATTAAAGTGTTTTAGAGTCATGATATGTCAATCAATGACCTAATTAGGATACATACATATACATATACGATAATTATAGGTGAGGTCTTCCGTTTACTGTTCTGTGAATATCGTTTTCTCCACTCCTCTTCTGCGACTCCAATTGGCATTCTAATTGGCAGTCAGACAGTCACAAGGAGAAATAAACGGCCGCGGATGTCTGCACTGTACCTACGCCATATTTCACAGTCAGACAAGAATAACACCATGCATGCTGAGACAGACGTGCCAATTGACCAATCTCAATTGCAATGATTGATCCATCTGAATCAGTAGTTACAACTGCGATGCCAAGAGTAGGTGAGTAAAACAACTATACCCGCGTATAGTTCCTTCCTTGTAACTCTGTGACCCTGTAACCTATGCCCGGCCGCGGCCACAGATATCACTACCACCGTCACCGTCACCGTAGCCATATCCACCTCGGAGACCGTCCGGCCTCGATTGGACCCGAACTTCAAGGAAGAAGCATTACTTTCTTTCCAACCTGAAACCTCGGGCGAATGACTGGTGCGCTGACTGCGATGACCATACGAGGAAACACTCCCGTATGGCAAGGCATAGGAGGTAGCTAGCTAGCTTGATATGATTGTAGCAATGTATTAGCCATACCGGCGCTCTTCTGATGCGATGATCGATCCATCAATCCCCATCTCGCGGTGGTGCGGCCGGCGTGTTGATCGCTGCGTATGTAGCTAGCAAGTACTGTCATGGAGCTTTCCCGTGCCACTAAGCGTGCTTTTGATATCACTCGTTGCCGCCAAGCCAGCCCACCCCCGGCATCTCGTCTACAGGCACAATGGGTCTCGATTAGACGTTCGCTAAAATAAGCGGCGGAAGGAGGTGGAGAAGTCGAGTCCGGAGGGGAGGTGAGAAAAGGAGGGCCATGTATGTAGGAAGAGGATATGGTGTAGCAAGGCCGATCGACGGATGACGATGGCCTGGAAGCTCTCTCTCTCTCCCCCTCCCTCCCGACCAGACAGACGGACAGGCAGATGTCAGAGATTTGTTCCTCATGCCATTGCGCCATATCATGGGAAGCATCCAGCTTGCGCACCGTGCATGAATCTGATCCAATCTGATTTGATGCTGTTGGTTTTGTGTTTTTGTCTTCTAATCTGTCAAACCTGGTACTACTTTACCGGCGTAGTAGGTACAGGTAGGTAGGTAGGTAGGTGGAGTGGAGTAGAAGCGCAAGAAGCGCACATGTTTTTTTTTCGACTCCCATGTTTCCCCAGTTGAAGGAGGTCAGCAAAAAAAAAAAAAGAAAAAAAGGAAAGGGAAGGAAAGGAAAGGAAAGGGGAAAAAGAGCCTCACCAGCATGCACGCATCATCCGCCGGCTAACTTACCCATCCATCCACTGCACCCATCCACCACTGACACCCCTTCCCTTCCCTCCCACACATCCTACCCATGGGAGTTGGGGTGTCTGGGATATTGAGATGGAATGAGTGGGGATGATCTGAACCCCACTACACCCACCCAACGTCCCCACTCCAGATCGGCGACACAGCCCTAATTTCGCGTATCTAAATCTAGCGCCGTCTCTCCACCCAGGGAGGGTCCTCGGCAGCGTCACAAACGTCGGTCCCCCCCTTCGCTTCAACCTATGGACTCGCCACGACGTTGCCTATGGGGTAGGTTTCTACATACTACCTCGCCCTTTTCAATCCAATGTCCTTGGTAACCTACCTACACACACGGTGGACCCATCTAGGTAATCCTTCGCAGCTTTCCCCAATGCCCGTTCCCAATGCACCCCACCCTCCCTCCCCCTAAGCGTAAGTTATGCCCTTTTCCCTTGAAACGGTTTTATCTGGCTGTTCTTGCGTTTCCTTCTGTAAATTACCCCTCTCAATCTGGACCTGTCAGTGCAGTCAGTGCAGTCAGTCAGTCACATCAGCTGGAGCACGTGCACCGCCTCAAAATACGGCGGTGGCAGATGATGCCCGCATATGTTACTAGCTAGGGTGTGCAGTGGGAAAGGGCAACAAAAAAGGGTGCCAATGATCGAAGCATGTTCATGTAGGTACCACTAGAGGTAACGACCGCTCGCCCGACCGGGTTAGTAACCCGTTTCGGGCTTCAACGTCTGATCTAACTCTCTCGACCTCTCACCACTCTTTTTGACCTCTCCCTTTAATCGATCCCTTCTTTTCCGTTCCTCAGCCCCAGGCCGGTTTCGAAGGCCCGGGTGGTATGTTAGAGATCATGCAATGCACAAATGTGAGTCAATGGGAAGAGCTCTTTTCGGTTTTAAAAGTAACAGGATTCAATTGAAAGGAGAAAAAATAACTGAGCTAAGCTAGCTGTTCCACATTCGGAAGAAAAAGAAAAAAACATATAAAGTGCCAAGACATAAATATTGCATTGCATAGAAATACACCATCAATCAACCTCCCCCATAATCTAAGTAAAAAAAAGCAGTTTGACTCGATCTAGCGAATCCCCATAAAATCCCGTCTAAGTGTATGTCTAAGAAAAAACAAAAAAGAAAAACACCCAAATTAGGACTGGTGGTACATGAGATAGTAATACAATATCCACGAATGGTAGAAATCGAGAAATAACGAAATAGAGTACATAAAACAAAACACAAACTCAATCAAGGCCTCGAACTGAAGCTGTAAATCTCGACAGGTCGAATATTTATTCAAGCTCCAAGGTGAAGTCATAAGCTGCGCTATCATCGATCGAGGTGTAAGGGCCTTGAGAATAGTTGCGGCACTCACTCATATCGTACAAGTATGGTTTGGGAGCGGTAGGCATTGGTATTTCCGGAGTAGGTTTGGGAGCAGCAGGTGAAGGATTAGGACCTTTGGGGTGGACGCCAAAGTTGTTGAAATCGATATTGATATCTGGGGTGGTGCTCGAGTTCCCTGAAGCCCATCTTCCGCTGGGACGTTGGTACTCGTAGTAGCTGCAATTTGCACGTCCACAGACACCAGCCTGGAGTACCCTCTCGTATCTTGATGCTCCGCTGCAGTTGCCAGCACCATCTCCCTGTGAGCAGCAAGCCATAACAAGCTTGAGCTCGCAGCCGCAGCCGCTGTATTTGACAACTTTGAAATGGCACATGGTGAAAGGTTTGAGTGAAGTTTGGATCTAATTGAAAGAGGATCTTGATGGGATGGTGAAATTGATTGATATGATTGAGATCAAGGTATGGGAGTTGGGTAGTAGTAGTAATGAATCGATGTTTGAGAATGATAGAACTGGAGTTGGAAGCGTGAAGGGCGGTAGGCGCGTTTAAGTATCGGATGCTGTGAGTATGAGAAGGATAGAGAGACTGAAAGATGGAGGGAAGCTTCTGTCTTTAAACGCGGTTTCCGACATCAGTAGAATGACCGAGCTTTGAACATACTCAATCAAATGCGCAAGGCGCACAGTGATTTCCTCCGCCGCATAGTTGTAAATTCTACTTCGATAGAGGTCACAGAAATGTTTTCGACCGATCTCGGACAGATATCTAGCGTACCGTGATCTCGGAAGATTACATGTAACCATGGTGCCCAAGCTTCGCCCTAATGACGTCCATTCTTGCAGGAAGCTAGGTAAATTTCGACATATGGTCTATCTGAGGCTTCCAAACCGTTTCTTCGAACCTCGCCGCACCCTTTGGGCTTGTGGTTCATGTGTGCGTTATAGAGATTCTCCGAGAGTTCACAAGGCAATAATCCCTAAAATTTGATCTCCAGTGCGAGGCTACCTCAGGTGACATACGTCCGGGGGGTTATGAGTGAAAGGAAAGTTGGGATTGGATGGGTTTCAACTGCATTGAAAACCGTTAGAACGTGTAAGAATAACCGAGGATTGACTTCCAGGATACAAAGGTACCAGTAAGTTACTGACCATAGTTCAATAATTGCTAGGTCCCCCAGTGGTCTAAACACTGGAGTAAAAATTTGACCCCCGCCACCGTAGGCAGTGACAATTGGTGTGCCAAGCCTCCTCCTTCCTGGCTTTTGACCTCACCGGCTAGACTTCTAGATCGTTTTAAACCATGGAACTGGGAGGGTACTACTGAAGTAGACGTTTTAGGTATTTAGGCATGATGCACCTCCCCTCCTCTTTCGTTTAGTAATAACACATCGAGTAAAACAATTTGGGTTGGTATAGAGTAGTTGAATGTAGTAAATTTGGTTGTCGAGGCGATAGATAATACCGGGCACTCCAACTAACAAAGGGGATTCATGCGTTGAGTCTCTTAACATAAGCTCCGATCTAGAATTAGACGATTATTTTGTGGCGGGGTTGAGTACTTGGTGGTTATTGTTTCGACTTCAACATACTTTGTATGTAGTTAGCCATGGATACATAAGCAAGCAAACAAGTTCAAGCCAAAAATTTTTACCAAAGCCACAACTTCTCATCTTTTCTCTATTACCTTTCCCCTGAGGCTTAACAAACTCGGATCCTGCCCTGGCGGTGTGTGGCGCGCAGGCGCCAACGTTTGTGAACTACATGATACGCGCCCACAATGTGGGCCGCCAAAAATAGCCGCTCAGATCAGGGGAAGATCTCGCTAGCTAGTCCCATTTCCCCATTATTAAAGGTCTCGAGTCGGGAATCTGATGAACGATCGGAGAGAACACGAGGAAGGTAGTCTTTCAAAGAGATAATATTGCTGCCTTAGAAAGATTTCGAGTTAACATCCACGTGTAGAACGAGACAAAGCAAAGTCGAACAACATTTACCTAAAGTCAAGTACCTGCATGGCAGATTAACGTGTGAAATATTGTCGCCACCGATAGATGATTAGATAGGAAATAGCCGATCGTTTGGCTGACGGTCCAGTGCAGCGTTGATTTCATCTATCAAGCAGTTAGTCATGGGTTGACTGAGCCTCCAAACCCCACAAAAGGAGACACAGATACCTATTGAGATATCTGCCTAAATAACAATACCAGTAAGTCGAAGGAGACATGAACATACTTTCACATGGTTCTCAGCGCCATTATTGTGCTAGCTGCTACCACTGGCTGAAATTTATGGCACAGCAAGCCAATCAGGACTGTAGCGGACAGAGCCTCACACTAGTAGCTAGGAAAATATATTTCTCGGGTTCGATGATATCTCGGTGGCAAATCGCTATGACGTTAATGAGTTGTATGTACTTGATCTAATTGAATGGAAGCTGAACATAACCAATGATTCACTAATATTGTTGCCTGGAAATTAGTCCATGCAAACATGACAGTTCCTTGCAAAGACTTTCACGAACATACTTATGTGTAGGTAAATGTGCGGTTACTTCCTAATAATATTGGAATGTTCGTTTCGTATTTCTTTGAGTTCCTTACTTTAGTGAAATGGCGAGCTCGTTCGTTCGTTGTAAAGGCTGATACAGATAGGCAGCCGCGGTCCTAGTGCGGCGCAGGAACGTTATATTAGCGAGTTTGATGGAAGCGCCTTGATTGCGGGGAACGATTGGAAGTATCGAGGAGCGAGTTAAAGGCCCTTACCCGACACCCGAAGGTATAATATCGTAGATATAGAGCTTTGTAGATTGGCGGTACAGTATTGGATCTTTTGGCAAGACATTCTCCCAAACGATAAGATCAGATAAGATAGTAGCGGCAGGTACCTATTATTAGTTATATGTCAGCAAAGGCCCAGATCAATTGCAAGAGGAATGTATATATATACCAAGTAATTAATCCTTTGTAAGAAATTCCTTTCAAGGCTTTAAGTTCTTGAAAGGAATGAGCGCATCAATAACAATATAAGAGGATGCTGCCATCCGGACCGCCATTAAAAAATGAATGTCAGGCATATGAAATTTCGAAAACTCGTAATCGGAGAAGTAATTATTTTCTCTCCCTGAATATCTTTGTCCTCAAACATGATTGTTTCGAATTCCAGACCTCTACAGAGCCTGAGGACTTCTTTCACTTCCTAGTTTGGTTTTTTAAAAGTCCATGCCGGTGAAAATGGTTAAAATGCTGCAGTAATACCGCGGCATTCTTCGGAGGACTGTTGATTTTGCCCGTTAGGTGTTGTGGCTAGTATTAATAAGCCTTCATGCTAATATTACATGGCGTTCCGGGTATGGCCATAAATGAAAGGTCTATAACAGTATGTAATTCGTAGACGAGTGAGATAAGCGAAAACCACATCTCAAACATGTCCGGGATCTACATGACCAAGCGAGAGGAATTTCTGCAGGGCGATGTCACACAAGATCAGACCTCGCGATTGATTGAGTAACATCCGACTTTAAAAGTTCCCGATAAACTCTCCACGGTATTTTAAAGTGCATGCTTTGATTATGCGAGTCGTACCTTGTTACTTCTGATGTCAGTTCGAAATATCCGGGTATAGATGGGTGTCTCTCTCCACTGAAATCACATCTCATAGACCCTAGAGAGTATATACCGGTACATGAGGGGATGGAGCGAATGAAATAAAGATGGAGCTCCGCTGATTTGATATCTGCTCTCGGGCCCAGACACTCTGAGGCAAAATTATGAACCTTTGGTTAGGCAAGCGGGCACCGTCTGTCTCTGTACCTGCACGCTTTCATGCAAGCAGAGGTTTCAGAGACGCCTCGTAGATCTAGAAACGATTGATCAGCAGTGAACTGTCCAAGCTTTATATGAGGGCCATCGAGTTTGGGGATACTTTTCCACGTCGCAATAAACACATGTGTGTTTCAGCGTAACTTGGAAGTTGAAACAAGCCATTGGCCTTTAAGTTAAAGTTTCATATATGGTGATCGACCATGGTGTTAACGTTCATATGATACCCAAGACTCAGGCGATCCACGCGTGAGGCTTTGAGAAATGGTGACTCTGTTGCAAGTAGTATGTTCTGTAAGCATCACGACAAAGTGTGGTTGTTTCAGAATGAAAAACGGACGAGTGAGGAGGTTACATGTATGTATATGCTCTAGCATAATCGAGTGATGCGACAAGATGCGAAATTCGAAAAGTGAGGTAATGCAAATATGAAAATCCATAATGCTGGATGATCGGCTCTAGCTCTCGGCACATGTTCAGGCTGACGTGCTGTTCCTAGAAGTACATACCGGTACATCAATCAAATATACCAGCACACAGCATATGCATACATGTACTTACTGCATACGTTATATATATAAGCATACATGTAATTATATAAACTTCAAAAGAAAACTCACTTCATTGATCTTACTTCTTATCCCTTAAACTGTACCGAGCCTCACAGTTTTTTTAGGCCTGGCGATCGTCCCCAAGTAGGAAATCAGAACTCCTGGAATAAGTTGATATGATACAGATCAACCACACAGCGCTTCAGGGCTAGATCTAGAGAGGTGATATTGGTACCCAGAGCTAGAGCAGTATTAGCAACAAATCAAATCTTGATGTAGTAATAATGCTACCCACCATAGCTAAACATCCGTACCTTGAAAACCGGAGGAGTTACACTTGAAAGATAGAAAAATGCGGGTGTTTAAGGTTCAACGTCATTGTGGCCGTCGATTCACTCAATGATCGGCACCGCTTCAAAGATTATGTCCTGAATTCGAAGTTGACAGAATACGAAATCTGAAAGTACCCTGTACATTAACTGGTCGTATACTTTTATGTATACATATGTAGCTAGATCCCGGGACCCCTCAGAGAACACATATTAGTTTGAACTTACATCATGGGCAAGAGATAAAACTTTATATCGAAAATTAACAGCCTACTTCGCTACCAGCTTCTTAATCTTAATTACGATACCATAGGTATCTCCCAATAACTCGATGGTTGCGATGAACAAAGCTAGGCGTAGTCTAGACGTCGACGGTGCCGGTCGTTATTGCGCTATTATCTTGCTTTCCTTTGTGGTGGAAAAGATGTAAAGATACGTATACGAAAGGTCCAGGGGCTGTTTATCAAACTTTTCCAATTTTTATCGAATCAAACTGTGGCCGACAATCATCATAGATCGTCGATAGAATGACACTTAAGCCGCACAGGAGGCATACTAGTTTGTGGTGTGTGTGCGTGTGTTGGTGACAAAACCTTTGGCACTGCGGCTGGCTTTTGATATGTCAGTGAATTTGAAAAATCAAGATAAGTCTAGGTCTTCGTCTCGTTTACTTACGC